TATGTATGGATTGTGATAAGAGTTGTATGAGCCCCTAATAAAATTATTTTTTAAAAATGAGATCAAAACTAAGGCTTTTTGCCTGTCTTGTATAGGTTAGCATGCCATCCCACCTCCTCCCATGCCCCAAAAAGAAACAAACAAAAAACAGGCAAAGTCTAGCAGGGATCCTGACAGAGGTAAAATGTGTTTTTGTGGTGAGGTTGCTAATCTGTACAAAATAGGCAGGAAAGGCAGTCTTACAGAGACAGCGATTTGACTGTCGTTCCTAGGGGGCATGGGAGAGGAGGCGGCGGGGAGGTGACTGGGTACAGGGAAACAGTAAGGGCTCTAAAATTAATGGTGAGGAGGGTGTTGCTTTTCTGGTGGTGGTTGAGCGACTGAATTGTATATGAGAGGAATTACTGAGAGGTGAATGATAGATAAAAATGACAGCGAGTAGGGGAAAATAAGGGAAGAGAGGAAAGAGGAAAGTAAAAAATATATATACATGGAAATATATGGATATAGGTGTATTTGCTTCACTATGCATATATATGAAAATAAATAAGGAAGCAGGTGGACTTTGGGCCACTATTTAAATCTTAGTACAAGTACAGTTTGTTCTAATAGTGTGACATTGTATGATACTCACATTCCTAACACGAAAGCTGAAGACAAATTGGGTGGATAAGCAAAAGTGGTGAAGAAAGCTGATGGTGCCCAGCTATTAAGACTTGTAGTTACACAATCAGCCAACTAGCAGGGAAGCAACAAAGTCCACATGGAAGAAGCACACCAGCCTGTGTGATCATGAGGTGTCAACAGGAAAAGGTATCAGAAGTTAAAAAAAAAAGGCAACCAAATCAATGTGAAGGGGCATAGTAATGAAACAACTACAGTGGAGAACTAAAATCTACCTATAAAATAATTGGACACTCTCTCTCAGAAGGGCCACATGGAAGGGATGATAAATCTAGGGTGAACCACATAACTGTCCTCTAGTTCTTTAATTAATTTCCTCCTCTTACTATTATGGTTTTTATTTGTTTTACCTCATTAATCATGTTAGACTTGCATATGTTCATTTGTATATTTAAGACCCCCCAATACAAGAAAGCCAAGAGAGATAACACTTCAGAATAGTAATAGGAGTGAAGTTTCCCTGAGGGTATGGGGTAGGGGCTGGGGGGAGGAGAATAGGGAGCTGATAGCATTATTGACTGTATGTATGCATGTATAAATGAATGAATGAATGAATGTTCCTGAGGGGAAGGGTGGGGGAAGGAGGGGGTAGAGGGGAGCTGATAGCAAGAAGTTCAAGAATAAAGAAAATGTTTTGAAACTGATGGTGGTAGCAATTGTACAATACTACCTAATGCAACTGAACTATGGAATAATATATGTAAGAGCTCCCAACAAAATAAAGAAAAACTTTAATAAACTCTTACGAGAGTTAAAAATAAAACATGATTAGGTTTATTTGAACAAAAATAAATAAATAAAGGCTTTTTACAGAGTGGAAAATGCTGAGCAAGCATGTGCACTACAAGAAATATTACAGGAAGGTTTTTAAGGCAGTAGGAACCAATAGCCAAGGGAAATTTGAAACAAACCAAGGAGAAAGAAACTCAATGTCCTATTTATGGATAAACATAAAATATACTCTCCTCATTTTTTCATCTCATGAAAAGCGTACTGATTGAATTTTAAAATATATCATTAGGAAAAAAAAATATATATATATCATGAGGATTATAATACATTTGGAAGTAACTATTATACCAACAATAACACAAATAACAGAGCAGAGAAAAAACCAATTGTATTTATATGGTATTATATGACTGTATTAATATCTTATATCAAGATAGAATGTATAAGCTATAAAGATGCATACAATGACCACAGATAAACTACTAAAAATAAAACAAAGAGGAGTTAATAAATACCATTTTGTTATAAACATTATTTCACCATAAAATAAAATAGTATATATATTAAATCCAAAAGAAAGCAAGCAAAGAGAAAACAAACAAAATAAACAGGTACTTGATTTAAACCAATCATATTGAATAGATATGCCTACACATTCTATTACGAGACTGAAGAAATCCAAACATAAAGCTTTTTCAATATAAAGTTACAGACAGATTAGAAGAATAGGAAAAGACATAAAAACAACAACCATAACAAAATTGAAGTGGCTATCACAGTATCAGACAAATTATCAGACTTCAAAAGAAGATTATACTCATGGTTAAAGAAATATTTCTTAATCAGAAATGGCTTCATTCATTTATCAAGAAGACATAAAACATCTGGTGTGTATAAACTTAGTAACAGAGATTCAAAATATACAAAGTAAAAACCAACAAAACTGAAAGAGAAATCCACAATCATCCATAGAGATTTAAGGATTGCCCTTTCCATAACTGATAGAAAAAAAAATCAACGAGGATTTAAAAATTCTAACCAAGTGAGATAGTTTATTGTGCCAGCCTGGCTGAGAAAAGCAGGTGGGATTGACTGAGGGGCGGAGAGATGGATGGCTTGGTGAGCCTTGCCTTTCTTGTCTCTCGCTCTGTGATCATCGGACCAGTGTGCGGCTGCCTT